GAAATCATGGATGTAAGAGGAAAGGACAAAAGATGAGCTTTTTTTAAGATCCTATTCCAAGAGTTTTCAGGCTGGAGTGCCTGCAGTTCGCTTTCAGGAAGCTCAGACATTTTGTTTTTTGTGCTTGACTGCATTGGTTTAAGAGTATTCCCACACTTGCACTTGGGTTGAGGGATCATTCCTAGAAACAGGGTTGCTCTGGATAATACTTGGAAAATCATCAGTGCAGTTTTCCTTCAGTTCCCTAGATTGGGTCCTGTGTGACAGCATCCTTGTATTTTAGAGCTAACTGGTGAGTGTGGATCACTGGAGCGCAAACTGCTTCTAAAAGGCAAATTCACTGTCTTGCAAATGATAGTGAAGAATATTTTTAAAAATGACCAAAGCATTTTGAAAATGTGTCGATGGTAGAATGGCATTATGATGGATCACTTACCATTCCCATATTGTCTAAAAATACTGCTATATCCAGCTTACAAGTTTTTCTGAGGAATCTTTGTCTTGTTTGTTTGCATTTTTCAAAAATGTTGAACGAGCAACCCTCTAAAAATGGTGCCTGTGCAGGTATCTGGCACTACGCACCCAGGAAAGTGGGGAAATGCATGTTTCCAGGCTCTGCCAAGCCTTTGGAAGGAATCTGGAGCTACGCAGGGAGTATGTGTAATCATGCACTGAGGAATGCTGTGGGCTGCTCAGCACAAGCCTTTTTTATCATTAGCAAGTGCTGTTCCAGTTAGCACAGGACTCTTACGCCCTTTCAGCATCACCCAGCACTGTGCACTGTGTTGCCTAATGCTGTTGAATCCTCAGGCAAGTACTCGTCTCTGTGAGGAAGACAGTGTTTTAAGCTGTCTCTAGACTTACCTTTTGCCTTCCTCAGTGCTACAGGGGCACTCTCTGATTCGTAGCTGTTCTGGTTTCAGAGGATCCCAAACTTTCCGACTTAGTTTGAAGGCAAGGGCTAGTCTGTGAAAAAGAAGCACTGCCTACGGGCTCGAAGCTAAAAAGCAGCAATGTAGTTCCCATTGGAGGAATGCTTTTCTTTATATTCTGCTTGGGTGCCTTTTGTGGTAGAAATGGTGACACTTGTCTTTTGTAGCATATAGTAAGTGTATATGACATTGGCAAAGAGTGGAGTCTAACAGGACATGTAAGTGAGGAGACAGGTCTGCTTGGCATCGGCCTGCAAGTGTGCTGCAACTTGCAGATGGGAGCGTGGGGCCGAAGGCCACTCGCAGTATTCCTCGCTCTGGCTTGGTTTGTGTACAGGAGACCACAGCTGAAGTTGTCACACATCTCTGAGCTTTCTGTGGAGAGGCTGGCAGACATTTGGTTGTCGTGAACCTGCACAAACGAGGAAGGCCCCTCTGCAGGGTCCTGCCTTGCTACTAAGTGGAGTTTGGCAGTGCAAACTATGCAAGAGGAAAGTAGCACACTCAGAGTCTTGCCTCTTTGTGAGTCACAGCGTTACCCCATCTCTCCCCTTGCAGATCTCCTGCAGTACATTCTGCTTTGTGTGTGTTTTTTGGGCATGGTAGTTAATCTGGTTATGCTTCTTTATTCACTGCTAGTGCGATCTCCTCCAGGCCCCTGAGGGCACCTAACCACTGCTTCCCTGCCTACCTCTGGGCGTCTCTGCACAAACAGTGCAAGACTGGGGTTTTGTTCTTCTTTTTTTTCCTCTCCCCACAGTGCTGGTTTAAAGAGGATAAGTGCAGATTTTCTCCAGCCACCCACCTCCTTCATGTAAAAGGCAAACCAAGAGTGTTAAGATGATGGATGTGTATGGCACGGTTAGATTTCTGTTTTGCTGATCTGCTGCCTTGGCCATGATTAAGTGAAACATTAATTATGAGATTGGCCATTTCTTCTTGTTTTCCCAGTGTATTAAATCTGTAGAGAGCCCCAGAGCTCCTGGTGTGGCCTAATACAACAGGACCCCGAAGCACACGCCCTCCTTCAAGCGCGTTTCCAGTATCCTTGCATGTCATTTGGTCTTTGGTTTCGTTCTCTTCCCAGTTCTGTCTTACCACATCCTGAAATTTTCATGCCCCTTAGAGATGAATATTCATTTTTGCTGAAGTAAAAATTTCTCCAACTGTATAAACATCCCAAGGAAAGGACTTGGAGTTTGGGAATTCCTTGTACAGGGCGAGTCTTTTTGTCTTGAACTGCAGCCTCCACCATGACTCTGTCATGGGCTATAGCCATCACTGTGATATAAAAGGGTGATCCACGTCTCTGAAGATCTGCAGGGGATGAAGTCAGATTTCAGAGCTCCTGTAAGGGTTTTTTCAGCTCCATATTCACAGGAGCAGGCTCCACTCTTCTTCCCTGTGACCTCAAAAACAATTAGAGCCTCAGTCCAGAGGAGAGGAGGCTCAGTTCTCCAACAATGGAATAAAGCAGGTAAAGATTTGCTGGGGGAAGGGGGAGCCTGTTCCTTCCATCCTCTTCTCTTCTTCCCGTACGCACGTTTTCATGGTCTCTGGGCCATTTGTCCACTCTGGTGGCCATGTAGTTGCACAGCTTCCTGTGCCATCTGTAGGAACTGTCATGTAAAGAATTAGGAAGCAAAAAGATACAGTGGTTTAATAAAGTTCTCATCTTGTGTTCCCAAGCTAGAAGAGTGTGGTGTTTGGGGAGCTGAATGAAGCACACTGAGAGCAGTTGGCACTGAGTTATTCTGGTTTTATAGTAGTGAACTCAAATTATCCTCTGGGTATCTCCCAAGGGGGATATTTGTTGGCTTAGTTCACAAAGGAAATAAGGATGTGCGCTTGCTCGGGAAAATTATTATCCAAATCACAACGTTCTTTTGAAACAGTTGTTTGAATATCAAAAAGAAGCTATCAGATGCTTCCCTCAAAAGACCTTGGCAAAACACTGCCTGGTGAAATCGCAAATTTCTTCTCTCCAGCCTCTCAGAGCAGAATTATCCATTTTGAGATTTTAATTTTTTTCAGTCCCGAAGAAGTGAATCAAATTTGCAAATAGTGTTGGATCAGAATGAAACCTGCTGCACCACTTACATGTAACTAAACTAGAACAGTGTCCTGAGGAGCAGTGCTGAGTCTGGACTTGGGCCAAAGACACATCCCTCTCTCCTAAGGATGTTTAGTAGAAAGAATGTGAATGTAGACTGGAAAGTCAAAGATGCTTGGATTTCTTCCCAATCACTATCAAAATTATTGCAGGGAGATCTGTTATACTTATTTTAACGCACTCTGTTTCTCTTCAATGAGTACCACATCTCTCTTCCTTTCTTCCAGTTAACAGCCACCTATA